AAAAAGCCCTTTGTTTTATCTTTTTCCACCCTTGGCCGGGGGTTGAACAAAAAATTACTCTCACTTATTGTTATAATATACCTTAAACTAACTCATATCAAAAATTCAGCCAAGTTGGCAACATTTCGATTTAAAGGCTTAGTTAATTGGACTATATAGTAAATATCGAATCGTATTGTTACAACATGTTATGCGTGTTAAATGGTAAATCAATGAATGATCTCAAGCAAGATCTGCAAGCATAACATCCTTCGACCCAACACAATATGGTTGGATATTAAAAAATAATGTATTGTGCTACAATTATTTTGAAGGAGATACGGCCATGGAAATGTTACAAAAATTCATATGCTCCCGCAATGAAAAGTTACCCTGCAGCGATGAAGACATTTGTTCTTGCTTATCACAAGGCTTCAAATGTTGCAATCTTTGCAATTGCTCTATAAAATGTCAAAATGNTGAAATTGATGTTTTGTTGAGAAACTTTTTGATCTCTTATGGTTTTTTCGTATATACATGTGTCATTTCTTCTTCTCTTTAATATCCGTACTCTTTCGAACACTCCCGGAGTATTTCTTACGGTTTCAAATGCATCGAATATTCGATTTCGTAATTCATCAACGGTATTCACTGGTGTTGTATACATTAGAGATTTGAGATGCCCCCATAGGAAAAAAAAAGGTCCACCTCGTCCTATCCACTTACACTCAAACACTTCATCTAAATACTGTCGAGCCAAAAAGAGGTAATTCTTCGAGTAATAAAGGCAATTCGTGTTGCAAAAAATTCCTGTATGAGTGGCCAGTAAGTTAACCAACCAAAAAGAAAGGACCACTTAAACGCCCCAATTATTCCAATTCCATGTGGATTCAGTGTCTTCAGTCCATATGTGGTTGTTGTGAAAATTTATAATAATTGAATTCCTTGAAAAATTAGCTTCGTCGGTCAAAAGGATTTTACAATCAAAATTATTTAGGGTACCACGGTACCAGAAATTAATCCTTAAAGGGGAATCTCGAGGAATCTGCACCCTTTGAATGTGATAAGGGTATAGCAGAGAATCACACAGAATTCGCCAAACAACTTGATGATTAATATTTAAATATTCACTAATTTTTCTGGTGCTAGTGTCTGGATGTTCTTGTATTTCATTTAGAACGACTTCTTCGATCTGTGGTGTTCTAACAGTACGTGGTCTACCTGCATCATTGGTATTCTTATTAAGATTTCCAGTTTCTGCAAGACGCCTATAAATATTTGAGAGTATTCCTTGATCAGGTATCATTCTATTGGGATAGCGCTATATGTACAGACGTCTAGCTTCTCTTGCATTTCCATTCGCAAAGCGGCAAGGCCATACATTAAATGCATTTCTCCTTACATTCACCTTACATTTTATAACTTAAACCTTTAACTTATAAAGTCCCAAGTTACGATTTCAAATGTGAACTGTCAAAATTAATAGAAACAAGAGATTATGCAAATAAATCCAGAGCCTACTGGACCATTTTAAGAATTTCAATTTTATCTAACGAATTACGCAAAATCGCTATTTATTTTTTTCTCGATAACAGTCGTAGATACGAAAAAATCATAAGAGACCAGAAAGTTTCTCAACAAAACATAAAATTCAATTTTGATTTTAGAATCAACCAGCGGCGCACCGCACAAAAGTTCAGGGGAAAAATGGAAACATTAC